AATAAAGCTAATTCATGATAATGGTTGCACCCAGGCCCAAGCGTGGCAATGATGGCGAGGTTGGTGTAGGATGGGCAGTGTTCCGTTCTGTTGTCCATGGGGTCGCTCTGAGTCAGAGCCTACTGGACTGCACCTAACAACAACAATAAACCTTTAATTTTGATCGTGATAGTGCACGAAGGGTGCGGAGGCGGCATTTTCTGCTGACCTCCTCTAACTTCACAAGGGGGAGAGAGAAGGACCAACACCAACAGCCCAGCACTGATTCCTATGAGGTCAGACATGCGCCACCTCCAACCTTTCGACCAACGCTGACACCAACCGTCCCTCTCACTGCACTCTCTGCTTCTCTGCTGGCTTCCATAATTCCTTGCAATGGCCACACAGAACTCACAGACAATACTCACAGTTATGGGCTTTATTAGGGAAGTAACAAGTTACAATTCACGTTCAGGAATACTAGGAATACAACTCTTCCAGCAGGATAGTCTTCCCTCTGTTATGCCGTCAGGCACAGCCCCCTGTCCCTTGGCCTCTCGGCTTGGCCTCTGTCCTGCTTGGACAAGTGTTACAAAGCTCTTTTAACCCTGCTGATAGGGACACCTGTGTGCCCCCAACTCTACCAGCAAGCCTTCAGCCCAAAGGAACTCAGCTCTCTCACTTTGTGGGCCAGCAAGCCCACCGCTCTGCCTCATGATTCCACTGCCACCATCTTTCTGCGGGTCCCTCTGCCAAGGAGGTCCAGTGTAGGGATCTTGCATCCAAGGACGCACTCTCCTTCACCTCCAGCTCTTCTCTCTTGATGGCAGTGAGACTCCCGCCCTCTGCCCCTAGGAGGGCTCATGTTAAGCCAGGCAGAGTGGCGAAACTAACCAATCCCCATGTCAGAGTTCTCCACACTTTATTTGCATGGTCCTACCCAGTCATCTGGTGGAAGTCACAAAGACTGGGGCTAGAAAATCTGTACCATGTAGTTCACTGCCCCGCAGATAGCCCAGCATTTGTCCCTCCACAAAGTCCATCCTCACAAGGTCTCCTGAAGATTGTCATCACTATGCTATGATTTTTTTTTTTGTGTGTGTAAACACTCAAATCCCTTGGCAAATATGAACTGAGTCCCCAGGTGGTGCCGTGGTTAAACACTTGACTGCTCCCTGCTTGGCGGTTTGAACCCCGCCTGCAGAGACACCTTGCAAGGTGTCTAGCAGTCTACTTCTGAAAGTTAGTCTTGAAAATGACACGGCCCGCAGTTTTACTTTGTAACACGTGGGGTCTCCGTGAGTCGGAACGGAATCGGTGGTAACTGGCGATGTTTGATTTTTTCCACCATCGGGAGAATGAACTCTATTTTATGAAAGAGTTTTGAATACATAGTGAATGGTTAAAACCGGAACAGGCGGTCAAAATAGGTGAGTGGGGTCCATCCTTTTGAACTTAAGGCTCTGAGATTGATGATGTTGCTGGGTGCTGTTGCGTGGGCTGTGACTCGTGGCGACCCTGTGCGCAACAGAAGGAAACACTGCGGGTCCTGCGCCGGCCTCACAGTCATCGCCGTGCTTGAGCCCGTTGTTGCAGCCACGTATCAAGCCATCAATTGAGGGTCTTCCCCTTTTCACTGACTTTACCACGCAGTCACCGTATCCTCCTGGGATTGATCCCATGACCAATTCTGGCTGTGCTTCCTCCAAGACAGATTTGGTCCTTCTGGCAGTCCACTGTTTTTGTTGTTAGGTGCCGTTGAGTCGGCTCTGACTCGTAGCAACCCTATGACCCGATGTACAACAGAACGAAACTCTGCCTGGCCCTGCGTCAGCCTCACAGTCCTTGCAATGCTTGAGCACATCATTGCAGCCACTGTGCCAGTCCATCTCTTTGAGGGTCTTCCTTCCCTGTTTCTCTGACCTTCCACTTCACCAAGCATGATACTCTTCTCCAGGGAATGATCCCTTCTGACAACGTGACCAAGGGAGGTGAGACAAAGACTGGCCATTCTTGCTTCTAAGGAGCATTCCGGCTGCACTTCTTCCAGGACAGATTTGTTCATTTTTCTGGCAGTCCATGCTACGTTCGATATTCCTTGACAATACCACAATTCAAATGCATGAACTTGTTATTCATTGTTTTCTGTATTCATTGTCCAGCTCTCCCATGCATATGAGGCAATTGAAAAGACTATGGCTTGGGTCAGGCACACCTTAGTCTTCAAAGACACATCTTGGCTCTTTAACAAAAGAGGTCCTTTGCAACAGATTTGCCCAGCGCAATACGTCCTTTGATTTCATGACTGCTGCTTCCATAGGTGTTGATTGTGGATCCAAGTAAAATGTTTGAATCCCAAAATAATGGAATCTTAGAAGCCCAGGAAAGAGAAAGGTAAGAAGTCCTGCCATTTTGGGGGCACCCACATGTGCCAGGCTCTGCCCGGTGATTGCCCCTTTTTCTGTCCCTGTCCCCTCCACTCCCCTCTTCCAAGTCACTGCAGCAGTTAAAAGTTCAGACTCTTGATTCAGATTCCAGCGCCCCTAGGGCTGGTGTTGCAGCTCTGCACCTTCCAGGCTTTGTGACCTTGGGCAAGTTACTCCACCTCTCTGGGCTCAGTTTTCCTGCCTGTAAAGTAAAATGTCATAGGAACCTTCTGCGGGTGACCTAGCTCCATTCCCAGGAGAGAAGACTGAGGCCCCAGGACTGAAGCAACTTGTTTAAAGACACAGGTGTACCTGATGGAGCTGAGCAGGGCCCAGGTGGGCCCCATGTCTGAGCCCCCACGGTTGTACTTTTCTTTCCTCGAAGTTCTGAAGTCCCCCACTGTCTGGTGAGGAGGAGGTCCCAGCACCTTCAGCTTGAGGAAGTGGCAGGCCCTGTGCTGGTTTGTGGCTGCCCTCCCCTTCCATTTCCCCGCTCCATTCAGTGATGGGTTTTCCCTGCAAGCTCTTGCCACGTGACCAGCCTCTGTCATCGGGGGGTGTGCTCTCCTCTGTGGACCAAACTGTGGACCAGCTGGTTTCCTGGAAGTGCTAGCATCTCTGAGAAGGGCTCCTGTGTGTGTGGCTGGTCTGGGGCTGATGCCAAAAGGGAGTCGAATTTCTGAAAAGGGAGTTGGACTTGGCCATCTTGCATTACCACCAGCTATGGGAGGGAGCGTGTTGGGAAAGGCCCTTTTAGGAGAAGGAGCTGAGATGGGGAGAAGAGAGGCCCCGTGGTCAGCCAGGGTCGGCTCCTCCAGGGAGTCCTCCTGCACTGCACTCCTTAAGAGGCTGCTGGGATTGAGGCCTCAGTTTCCCCATCTGCCAGACCCACAGCAATGTCCTTGAGGTGACTTCCTCCTGGGAGGGATGGGAGAGGCTGCTGACAAGCAAACAGCTTCCCTGGGATGGGGGCGGGGAGGGGAGAGAGGAGGGGGCATCGTCCGTAGGTGTTCTCTGGGTCTGGTTATTGTCCTCCAGTCCCCTTCAAGCATGGGAGGGGGTGCTCTGCGAGGTAGCTCCTGGTCAGCTGTCCTGGCCCTCACATGGTTCTGGGGGAGGTCAGCTGAGGCCCTGGGCTGTTCTAAATGATTGCAGGCAGGCCACTTCCCTTCTTGGGGAAGGCCAGGAGGCAGCAGGGACCTGTGTGCTCACTGGTGTCTCTGAACGGCGGTTCCCTCTGCCATCTTCTCTGGGGTAAAATGGCTCTGCCCAGTGCAGTGAGTGAGTAGGGCACCCCTGGGAAAGCAAGGCTCCAGGATGGCTCCAGGTGGGATATGGCCTGAGAAGTGAAAGGGAAAAGCAGGGTCAGTGGCGGTGGTTGTCCAGAGCCAAGGTCAGGCCAGTGGGAAGTGCAAGTCATGGTGGAGGGGGAAGTAGGCCAGCCAGCCACGGGGCAATGGGGAGGAGTTGGTGGGGATACCCTACTGGAATGCCCTGCCTCCCTGTCCTGGGGATCTCACCCATGCTCAGCACCACCCATGGGACTAATCCCACTGGCCAAGCCTCTGGCTGAGGCCTCCTGCTTAGCCAGGCCCAGTGACCCACGGTCCCTCCAACCTGGGTCGTCTCCCTGCTCAGCCTTTGCACCCGCTGCCCCCTGCCCCAGAATGCCATCCTATGGCTTCTCCATTCTAGGAGTGCCCCTGCAGCCAGCCAGTCCACCCTCAGACAATCCAGAGAGTGACAGGAGGGAGGATGCAACCATTCATTGCCGTATATTATTCTCTGGCCCTACCCTCAGCGTGTCTTGTCTTCTGGCAGGGAGCTTGTGGGGTTGGGATGGTCCCTCCTGCCATTCCACGAGATAGGGGTGGAGGTTGCAATTAACTGACTGAACAAGATGATGAAAAGATTGGGAAATCATTTTTTGTTTTCAAAGAAAAAGAGAGTGGAAGACAATTAAAACCTTCCATTTCTGCACTTAATCTGTCTGGCTTGGAAGTCCTTCCTTGTGTCTGACTTAAATACATCAAGCTGCATTTCAGACATTCAGCCACACTGCTGGGGAAGCAATGTAGCCCAGTGCTTAGTGAAAGAGCTCTCAGCTCCACTGCTGAGTGGCACACGACTAGGCCTGTGCCTCAGTGACTTCATCTGAAAAAGGGGATAAAGGTGGTTTGGTAGGTGAGACCCATTTATGCAGAGCACTTACAGCAGAGCTGGGTAGCAGTGGAGACCATCCCGTCAGCTGTTAGCCCTGCTTGGTGTGTCCACAGCCTCTGAGGCCCTGGGTTGAGTTTGAGGAACTGACCACGGCCCCTGGCCAGGTGCTGGCACACCTGGCCTCTGGACTGCACTCCTCTGGTCCCTTCCAGCCAGATGGAGCGGCCTGCGGGGAGGCGGGGACCTGGGGAAAGGGCCTCCCTGGCTGGGACACTGGACCAGCATCTGAAACTCATTTCCTGCTGGGGTGGATTTCTTGGCTGGCCTTTGGCTCCCAGAGAAGCCCTTGCCTGTGGGGAATGTGGAATGAGAAGAGCTCCCGCCCCGCTCACCCTTCTGGCTGTCGAGAGGACATGAGACGTTCTCTCATTGATGGCCCTTTATGCAGCCCCTGGGCTGGCTGCAGACTTCATGTTTGTGACTTTGACCCTACTCCTGGAGTTCCGACAGGGGAAGGGGCTGGTGAAGGGGCTGGTATAGCCCAGCATCTGATTATCCCCCTGCCACCAGTCCAGTGGGAGTTCTGGTGGCACAGTGCCTAAGGCATTTAACTGCTAACCAGAAGGCTGGTGGTTCAAACCACCAGCCACTCCTTGGAAGGAAGATTGGTCAATCTACTTCTATAGTGATACTGCCTCAGAAACCCAAAGAGGGGTCACTATGAGTCCACAGCATTGAGTTTTTTTTTTTTTTTTTGCTGGTCCAGGCATAGCATCACTGCCTTCTCTCTCCTGCTGGCTTCAGGTTGGTAGCTCATTCTGGCCCCAGCTGGGTGTGTTTGGGGTTCTGAGGGGACACGGGGGTCTGCAGGCCGACACCCTCTCCCATGCCCTGGAGCCTGAGATTTCCCAATCGCCTGGGCTATGGGCTGGGCTTAGGAGCTCAAGTGCTGAGTGGGTGGCAGATGAGGATTGCCCAACAAACCCTCAGCGTGGGCCACAGAGGCAGCCCGCCAGGTCCCCTAGGACCAAATCCTTACAGCCCAGTCTGAACTGAGGCTGGAGTTCAGTCTCTCCAGTGCTGCCTGGGAGCAAGCTGATGGCCTTCCCAGCCCAGATATACTGTGTCTCTCTGTTGGCTCATCTGAAAAATGGGGCTGTCATCGCCCCAGAGGGCCTCAGGGAGGGAGGGGTGGGGTCTGTCTCACACCTCCTGGCAGCTGCATGCCCCCTGCCCCACTCAAGCTGCCAGGGACAGGGTGGAAGATGGAAGTCCAGGCCCAAACCTGGTGCTGGGCCACCATCCGGAGGAGGAAGAGGAAGTTCTCAGTCCCCAAAACACCCCCTGCTTCCCACCTGCCCAGCCTTCCCTCACTGGGACCTGTGCCCAGGCTGATGGGGGGTGGGGGTGGGGCAAAATGGGGGAGGAGTGAGGCTCCAGTGAGAAGGGAAGCCTGGTGCTGAGCCGGGAAATTCCTGAATGACATGTTCCTCTCCAGAGCACAGGAATCCCTAGAATGAAGTGGGGAAGGGGGTGTTGCCAGTGGCTTCCTTGAACCCCCCTTCCCACTGCACAGACCCAGAGAAGCAAGGCTTAGATGGGGAAACGGAGGCCCAGAAGGACATGACCTGCTCGAGGCCAGCAGAGTGGGCCGAGTGACAACGATAGCCTGAGCTGGGCCTGGCCTAGCACTCCCCTCCCCAGAAATGGACAGTGCTTCAGTGGGCTTCCTGCAGGCCTGGTGGGAACTGAGACGTCACCCTGACATGTCACTTCACCTTTCTGAGGCTCAGTTTCGTCGTGTCAGTAAGACTCAATAACGGTTGTGTGTGCAAAACACCAACACAGCGCCAGGTGGACATCACTGCTTTGTCCGTACCCTGAGCAGGCCTGTGGCCACCCTTCCCCTGGGACACCTCCTCCAGGAAGCCTCCCTGCAGCCACCATGGTGCCACAGGAGTGGGAGACTCCCCAGAGGAGGCAACTTTTATGGGTGGGATGGCGCTCGCTGACCTGGTGTGGCCACCGGTTCTGGATGAGAGAAAGTGCCCTTTGGGACGCGGGGCCCCTCGGAGGCAGCCAATCAGGGCCGTTGTCGGACAATGGGTTAGGACCAGCCAATCCGAGGGGCGGCCAAGCCCTCTGGGTGGGGTTGCCCGGACCCCACTTATCCAGGCGGAGCTTGGCAGCACCCTCTGCCCCTGGGTCCCGTCAGCTGGGGGGCGTTAGTGACCCCGCTGCCCCTCTCCTGCCTCGTCCCCTCGCGCTGCGCGCGGGCCGCTCACTTGGCCTCGGCCCGCGGGTTTTCCGCAGTTGCGGCGGGCGGGGCGGCAGGCGGGGCGGCGGGCGGGGCTTGTGACTATTTCAGGCCGCACCCGGCTAGGCCAGGACAGCTGCGCCCGCCCGACTGGCTAGTAAGTGACCTCCGCCGCGCGTCAGTCCCCACCGACCTGCGCTTCGTCCCGCCGGCAGACCCCGCCTCTCCGGGCTGGTCCTCAGAGGGAGCGCCCGGCGCAGGGGAGGTAACCAGCAGAGCGGGGCGCCTGGCGGGCGTGGGGTGGGGTGGGGCGCGCCCAGCCTTTGGCAGCCCCCGGCTAGGGAAACTGAGACCCTGCCCTGAGCGTCTGGTCTTCAGGGCTCACAGGGCGCGGGGTTGGCGTCCCTAGTGAGGCGTTCTGTCCCGCAAAAGGCGAGGGGAGAGGCTGTGGGTAAAGTGGCTGGAGTCTCCCTTGCGTTGGACAGTAGGGAGGCCGGCCCGGCACGTGGCTCCTGGGTTGTGTGGCCTAGACCTATGCACTTCCCTTTCCTGGGGTGTCTTTCCTATTCCCTCAGGAGAGAAAGAGCAAGGTTCAGAAGCCACCAAGAGACTGTGTGGACTTCAGTCTTGACCTGGGGTGGGGTGGGGGTGTGAGCCTAAGGACAAACTGGGCAGGAGGGAGGCTTGGTGAGGGTGCCACTGTTGGGGCACAGGCTGTGGCCACACTGTGTGACTCTTGTGAGGCCTCTTCCTGCCAGCCGCTCCTGTCCTCGAAGTTGCACTCAGGGCTGGGTAGGTCCCTGTCACTGGGCCATGTAGTGTCACCACCTCTTTGCAGCAGTGCAGTGAGGTGGGTGCCCTCCTACCCATTTCCCAGATGCAGAAACTGAAGCACATGAAGGAAATGGGGGGGTCAGTGCACACACCAGTGAGGCGCAGCTGAGCTCACAGCCTGCTCTCTTTCCCCTGCACCAGCTACCCCGGGGCCCCGGCAAGGATTCTGGGCAGCAGGAAGGAGAAGGCGGGGATGCTGGGCCAGGCAACTCAACCGCGGGAGCCTGGCCTGTGTGGGGACCCGGAGGGGAGGACAGTGAGGGCAGTGACGGCCAGGTGCTCAGGGCAGCCCCCACTCTAGGAGGAGGGTAAGGATCAGGCCTGGTGCCCAGGGTGGGGCTGAGCAGCTGGCCGGCAGCTGTGGAGGTGTGGCCTGAGATGGGCTGGGGTGAGAAGGGGAAGCCAGCTGGACAGCCAGAGGGCAGGCAGGGCAGAGGTGTCAGGAGGCCTGCACCTGGGGACCCTGGCTTTGCTGTGTGGCTCTCCAGAGCACTTCCTCACGTGGGACTCCCTCAAACTAGATCATTTGGGCCTAAACTTGTGTGGTGGGAGGGGCCTTTGAGAACTGTTCATGTAGCAAGGCCCAGGGCACCTCAGGGTCACACAGCAACTGGGGCTGGGAAGCCCAGCTCCCAGTCCAAATGCACAGGGGAGGCAGCTGAGGTCCAGGGGTTCAGGGATCTGCCCAGGCCACCCAGTAAGGCCAACAGGTATGGGGTGTGAGGAACCGAAGCTCACTGTCTCCCACTGGCTCTGGCT